AACCCTGAGCCGGTGAGATTTGAACAGCCGAACTGCAGAACTGCAGTCAGCTGAAGTAGCCTGCAGTGCTGCATTTAACCACTGCGCCACCTTGTCTTACGTCTTTGGCATGATCCCCATTGAGCTTTAATGAGGCCTAAGTGGGTGGTAGCAGACCCCAGGAAAGGGATCTGAACCCAAAGTCTTCAGCTAGAAAGGCAATGACAACAAACTATTTGTAATGTGCTGAGCAGTTGCCATTTGTGTAACATGATTTTGCAAAGTGAATAGTTTCGGGAGTATATTTGGAACTAGAAGAATGAAATTGTGAGAAATAAAGAACTGGAAGTAACGGACGGATGGAGGTTCCAGAGATGCACATGGGTGCATGTGGAAACTGACGGGCAGCGAGAAAGAACAAGGAAGTGGGTTGTGAAATGTAGCAAGGAAGTGTCCACCTGTGTGCGTCCGTTAGAAGAAAGGTATAAAAGATGGAGCTCGAGATCAGCTGTCCTTGTTGTACCTCATTGCAATGGGTTATTGATGTAAGGGATGTTACGATGCAATGATACTATGATGACTCTTCAGGTTCCAAATTCCTAATGAACTAAACCTCTGAATCTTAAAGTAAGAATTATTATTTGTGTTGCTGTCTTTTGTTTCTTTCATTGGGTTTTTTCCCCACGACAAGAACAATGCAAGTGCCCAATTTAATCTCCTTTTTCAAGCATCCTCTGTAAAATCCAGCCGGGAAGCAAGCGGATTTCTTGGACAACTGAAGAAGCGCAATCTCTCTCGTCTCTTTGGCGTTTTCAGTAGACTCAGCTCTCTACGCGAAGACAATATTGTTCAATATTCAATGTGTAAATTGATACCAGGCTGGGTTTCGTGTGACACAAAATTCAGTTCAGGTTGAGGCTGTTGTGTGTGCAATAAAGGCCACTGTGTGTGCAGTTGTGGTTTTAACCATAAATTTAAATTCTTTCAAGTATAGTCTTTTTTGTTACAGTGAAGTTTAATTACCGTTCATATTATCTTGTTATATTACAAATATTTTTCTTGCCCTTTTCCCAACCCAATTAACCTATTTTCCATATAGATTATCACTTCAAATAATATAAACTTAATACAATTCTTGTTAATACAATTCTTATTCCCTCAATTCTTGAGGGAAGTAGGAGGAAGTATCCCAAGGCTCTGTTTTGGACTTTTCAACCTTCATCAATGATTTGGATGAAGGGATAAATGGGGAACTCATCAAATTTGCAGATGACACAAAGCTGGCAGGAATAGCCAACACTCTAGAAGATAGGCTCAAGATACAGAAGGATCTTGACAACTTGAATATTGGGCACTATCTAATAAAATGAAATGGTAAAAAGAGCAAGGTTCTACATTGAGGCAAGAAAAACAAAATGCACAGGTACAGTATAGGTGGTACCTTGCTCAATAGTAGTAACTGTGAGAGGGATCTTGGAGTCCTAGTGGACAACCATCTAAATATGAGCCAGCATAGTGCACCAGCTACCAAAAAGCCAACACAGTTCTAGGCTGCATCAACAGAGGGATCATAGAATCAAGATCACATGAAGGGTTAATACCGCTTTATAATGCCTTGATAAAGCCAC